CTGTTTAGATACAGAATGTTGCTCAGGCTGGCCTTGAACTCCTAGTCTCAAGCAGTCCTCATGCCTCAGCCTCTCGAGTGGCTCGGATTACAGGTGTGAGCCACTGTGCCTGCACGGGCCGGTTTTGTTGCCCTGTGTCTCTTTCCACACAGTAACAAGAATTAAATTCCTATGAGGAAAAATGCATGCCTGCAGAAAATCACTGTTACACTACTTAGGTCATCTTTAATATCTTGTCTATTTTATGATTTCACTCTGTTTTTCCCTTCAGTGGAGGATGGGGGGAAGAAAGCTATTCCCTCTCTTCTCTTTCTTTCCTTTCATCTGTCAAGAGCATTGCATATTGTAGAAAATCAAGTGTATGAAATAAGAGGTTTGCACTTTAAGCAGCTGTAGTCATTTAACTGAAACGAACTGTGATTTGTGACTCTAAGCAACAATCCTGCAAAGGCAATGCCCCCCAGAAACTCAGAATGATTTGCCCTTTCCTCAACGTCAGATCCCTTAGAACTGCATCCGTGTTCCCAGCACTATGAAATTTAAACAGCAATCGGACAAACCCAAGATTAAGAGCCATTTGCAGTTGGAAGAAAACAGATGCCTTCCTCTCCCCTGAAAAGTCCAAGTGACTGGCCAGCACCGTGCGGCAGCTCAGTGTCCACAGCATGTCTTCCCATCTGCTCCTGACGGCCCTGACAGGCAGGCAGGTGGCCCCTGGCACGTCGGAAGTGCTGCACCAAGCACCTGGCTCAGTGTCTCTACTGGTTTTCCCGGTGCTGCTACGGTATGGTGCCAGAGCTGGGACGGGGCCAGCCACTGTACTGGTAACTGTACTCTTTCCTCCACTGGCAGTCACTCCGGGAACACCGGAGCCTCAGAGCCTCAGGTGCCTTTTTCTTCCAAATATCGCTGGCACCTTCCATCTCGCTCAACCCAAGCCCAGATCACATGCAGCACCCAGGCAGGCACTGTTCTGGCAGCATATGGCCATTTGGGACAGAGACCCCCCAGCAGCTGCTGCCCCCCAACCCCCACCATCAGCAGGGTGGATGCACACCTGGGGCACAGATCCTGTGGGCTCAGATCCTGAGGGCTGCACCAGCCCCTAGCCACAGTTCCCTGCACAACGGAATGACAGGATCAATTTCATGTTTTCAGAGGGAGCAGACTTTTGCTTTTTTCTAAAAATGTATTTAGTTATTTTGGTACCAAAATGCAAGGAAAGAGCCCTATATCTGGATCCAAACACATTGCTTCTCTCCGACATTTACAGCATATAAATTCTTTGGAACACGTGGAAATAATGTTTCAACTGCATTTAAGTCACAATCTGGAAATGTTACGTTGTTCTGGAAGCTTCCTGGTGACAGCCACAGACAGCATCATTCCAGCTTTCTTGTTACTAATTTATGACAAATATAAAGCAGTTTTGGGAGAAATGCTTTAAAGAAATGTATTATTGTTGCTTCTTTGTGGGAAAAAAGCAAATATGGACTAACCAAATGTTGTGTCTGGAGCCTGTATATTTAATCATAATTTATTCTAATAACAAATGACAGGTTCTATAGGCATGCCCTTTGCTAGGGGCCCTCACATCACACTTCACCCACGAGCAGCCTGAGAAAGGAGAATTACCCCCAGCTATGAGCTCAGACAACTGAGGTCCAGGTAGGTGGCTCATCCAAGAGAACAGTATACCACATGGCTGAGCTAGGACGTGAACCTGGTGCCTCTGTAAATACACAATTACTAGGATGGCTGTACTGATCGTATACAAGGAAGTTGTGACAGCATCCACAGGGCCGCCCTGCACAGCAGCGCTGGCTAACCAATGGCTCCATGTGAGGCTGAAGGCTTCATTCTTAGGACCCATGAAATAAGAAGCTTCAGACGGATATGAAAAATAACAAGAACAATACTGCCAAAAATCATGTCACATGTTCCCCGACCACCCTGTCCAGCTATTTGCCGTCCTAGTCTAGCAGGCCAGGTCTCAAAGGATGTGGGGGAGGCTGTGTCAAAAACAGACACATACAGAGGAATGCTATTCATGATCCACGGAGGAGCATGGGCCTCCAGGCAGCCCAGGACCCAGGGCCCATCTGCACCTTGCCCCAGTGTGGATCTCACATCCCTAACCAGGCCCGCATCTCCACGGACCAGCCGAGAGCCCTTTCCTTATGAAGACGGCATTAGCCCACATTCCAACGCTCACCGGCAGCACAAGGTGCGTCTGCGTGGCAGCTCGGGAGCCACGTTCTCTCTGAGACGACAGAGCATGCCACCTTGGGACATCCTGAAACAGGTCTCAGGAGTGTGTGCAAATGTGATTCATGAAATACCAGCAAAATGTCTTAAAGCTCCTAACCTGGGGAATCGATATATCCCTCCTAACAATGGTCTATCCAAGCATTTTTAGAAGCCCATAATGATAATATTTCTTTCTGGATTTGTGGTGATTTAGTCATTAGAGCATCTTCAGAGGCTTCAAAGAGATGAAATTAAACCCCTCACCCCAACTGAAGGCATTCTTTCTTATGACCTTTTTTATGAGGGTCAAAGGAATTTTTTTTTTTTTTTTTTTGAGACAAGGTCTCACTCTGTTGCCCAGGCTGGTGTATGGCAGTGTGATCTTGGCTCACTGCAGCCTTGATTTCCTGGGCTCAAGTGATCCCCCCACCTTAGCCTCCTGAATACCCAGGACTACAGGTATGCACTACTATGCCCAGCTAATTTATAGATTTTTAATGATGGGTTGATCCATTTCATTGGCTGAAAAAAACACCTCTGTTATCAGGGTTTGTTTACGGTCAGTGGGGACAACACATGGCCAGGAGCAGAGAGGAGAAAATAAGACAGTGCAACCTCGTCATAAACACCACACACGATACGGCTGAAATACACAGGTGTGACAAGCAGTATGTGGCCTTTTCCTTATGACTTCAGGAATGCCTGTTGAGCTGCACCCACACACACACTGGCACGTCACACAGCCACTGACAAGAGCAGACACGGGTGGCTTCGCTGGGCACTGCAGCCTCCCTGGGAGTGAGCTCAGCGTTCCACAGCCTGCCTGCCCACACATGCCCTCATGGGTGCACATTTAGGAACACTCACAAGGAGAGGGAGGGCCTCCTCCCGCTGCCCGAGCTCACCTGCTCCGTGGGGCACAGATGCCCTTATTTCCCCAGCTCCTCCCATGCGCATGCATTTAGGACACTCCCAAGTGTTTGCCATACCAACAAGGCTGCAAGGGAACTTGTGAGTGTGAGTGCACAAGCTCCTCTGTGGAGTGGATTTCTCCAGGGCAGGGAACTTGCAGGAAGACCTTATAAGCTCCAGTGCTAACTGGTAACAGGTAAGTGTCCTCTGAAGGGGCTGCCCTAAGGCCCCACAGTCCTGAGAACCCCGTGCCCCCACAGTCTAACTGGGTCGCATGTAGCATTTACCTTCTGTGAATCTGAATAAAGGGCACCTTGAAGACCAGTGGTTGCCCGGGCTGGGGGAGGGAGGACTGAACAGAGAACAGAGGATTTCCGGGGCAGGGAACCCTCTTCACGAGGCTGTAGTGGTAGGCAATGTTACGATACATTTACCCAAACCCGCAGAAGCACGGCACCAAGCGTAAGCCCTCAGTGAATCGTGAACTCCGGGTAACGATGACAGGCCCGTGCAGGCTCTTGGACTGTGACAAACGCACCACTCCGGGAGGGCTGATGGGGGCAGGGGCTGCGGGTGTGTACGGAGCTGTACGTGGAAAATTCTGTACTTTCCACTCAGTTGTGCAGTGAACCTAAAACTGTTCTAAAAATAGTTTATCAATAAAATAGTGCCTTGCTTTAACAGGCAATTTTAGTTGCTAACAAGGCTAAGGCATATATGTATGGGTTTATGGTGTATTTGTATTTCTTTTTCTGTGAGCTGCCTATTCATGTCCTTACAGCATCTTCTATTGGGTTGGTTATCTTTTTCTTAGTTTAATAAGAAATCTTTGCATTTAAGAACATTAACTTCAGTCATATATACAGGAAATGTTTTCCCAGTTTTTCCCCTATAAATATTTCATACACATATTTAGATTTAAACAACGTTACTAAGCTGTATCATTTTATTTATTATGGTAACTTCTGGGTTTGTGGCATGCTTGGAGAGGCTTTCTCCATTGCAAAGTAATAAAACCATCCTACGGCTTTTTATCTTAGAGGTTTACAGTTTCATTTGATGTTGAAATTCCGTCCATCTGGAGAGTTTAGAATAGGAGAGGGCTGGGGTCGGAGGGCCCTCTGTGTTTCCCCAGTGCGGCCCACTCGTCTCCCCATTCTTTGGTGAATGATCCATTTAGCCCAGTGAATTGAAATGTCACCTCAATCAAATAAAAATTTTTCCTGAGTCCTTGAGGACTCTAAGTTCACACCGAATACATTTCTGAAGGCAATGTTTCTTTTACTTAGCAGGTAACCAGTGAACACAGCTAAATGGTTAAAAAATGGTTAGTTGACTTTTCTTGCTAATCTTGTCTTTCTAAGCAAAACTTAGAAGGAATTTTCTTTCCCTTTCCCTTTTTTTTTTTTCCTTTTCTGAAACATAATCTTGCTCTGTTGCCCAGGCTGGAGTGCAGGGGTGAGATCTTGGCTCAGTGAAGCGTGAACCTCTCGGGCTCAAGTCAGGCTCCTGCTTCAGCCTTTAGAGTACTTGGGACTATAGGTGTGCACCACCATGCCCAGTTAATTTTTATTTATTTATTTATTTATTTTTGGTAGGGACAGGGTCTTACTTTGTTGCTCAGGCTGGCCTGGAACTCATGAACTCAAACGATCCTCCAACCTCAGCCTCCCAAAGTAATGGCATGACAAGCGTGAGCCACCATGCCTAGCTGGAAGGAATTTTCTTTTAGCACATGGCCACAGACAAGAAGCCTTTTTGACTTCGGCACTGGAAGTCAGCTGAGCTGTATCTGACAGGCATCTTTTCTGCACTGTGTAGCCACCCGAGCGACTCACCTCTACAGCATGAGTCTCCACACTGATGATGAAGACTTGACCTCCAGAAGCTGCCCACAACGTGTCTTCCATCATGAGTAGACTTCTAACGGGCAGGACGCCTAACTTTATCACTTTTTGAGGTTCTGAATCCCAGGATCCATCTTAAAAGAAAAGACGTAATTTCATTCAAGTTCAGTATTCTGTACATAGGAACAGGAAAATGGGATCATGTATCCTTTTAAATAACAGACAACCAAAAGAGTATATGTAGTATAACCCTTGTGCCTGATCCTGTGTGTGGGGGGATCCACAAGCTGCCAGCCACACCAATCAGCCCATGGAGCCTGGCAGGAAGCACACACAGCTGTGGCATGCACAGCTCGGGCCCCCCACCTATCCCCGTCACGTGCGTCCCATACAAAGCACTCATTCACCCTGAATCTCAGCTTCCTTACTGTATGATGAAGACCATTCTACCACTAGCCTCAAAGGTTTCAAAAATTAAAATAAAATAATGCGTGTAAAAAGCTCAGCACAGTACTCAACACACAGGTGTTCAATAAATACTTGTATTTACAATAATAGTACATAAAATGATACCGTCATCATGAGAAGGAACGCATGCAAAATAACTGGGGGGATGCTGCACTTCCCTGTGAGCTGTTTCCACTCTAACACATGCCTTGCTATACACTGTATCATGAGGAGAGACCGTATCTTCACAGAACACTTTAAAAAAATCAAAATTGAGTTAAAAGAAATTCCTTTCTTTTGATGAATTTGTTCCCTTTCTTGAAGCCTAGGGAGTCATAAAACATTTTGGTTTGAAAACATTTTCAAGGATCTACTGGTGAGGTCTTTCACACTTTATATCAAGTACAAGTCATTAGCTTGAATACCAATAAAAAGTATTTGAAACAAGATTTACCATAAATTTTTAAAGTGACTAATGTAATTATCCTGTAAATAATTAAAATGAATTCTTCAATTCTCCATCTAAGCATTAATTAAGGCATCGACCTTAAAAATGTAACTAAATTATTAATCCATCGACGCCTTTGACTTCCTAATCAAGTAAACACGCTTCACTCAGTCAGGAGAACATGGCCCTACTTCTTATCTCTTTATTCTGGATTTCAAGCACTGAACCTTTGAATACAAAACAAGTGCCTGAAGCTGAGGTGTGCAGTCACCAAAAGGCAACTATCCAAGCTTTGGCTTTTGTGGCATTCTTTCAGTTACAATTCAACTTTAATGGAAATGCTTTAATGTTGCAATTAGGCTAAAAAGTGTTGTCGGGTGATTATTAGCCCCAGTGAATGTGAGCCTGCTTTTCACGTATAATATGTGCACAGGGCCCAGCGTGCATGGGCCTTCCCATCTGGTACTCACAGCCCTTTAAAGCAGTGCAACCTTCAGAACTATGTGGACTCAGTGCAGAGCTACAATTTTCTCTGACATTCACATGCTCTGCAGGGCACAGAGTGGCACAAGAACGCGGGGTTTTGAATCCTGGGTCAGAGCTCTGTCCACCACCCGCTGCACTTGAATCCTGGCTGTCCAATGGGCTTGGCAGCGTCCTACGGAAAGCATAATTCCTCTAAAACAAGAACTCAAAGATCAGGGACAGGATGGCCTGCTTCAGATGTCTCGCTTGGTAAAGGTTTAACTTCCAGTAACTGACCTCTGTTCTCCAAGTGCCTGAGCGGGTCTTTCTGCAGTGTGCAGCATGCACTTGTCTTTCTTAGGATGACTTCTCCCTGCATAGCTGTCTCAGGCCAGAGCCCTCAGCAGGCTGCCCACAGCACAGCCAGACCCGGGCACATGCTAATGACATTCCGAACTAACACTTAAAAATCTGGAAATTGCCACAGAATTTCAGATTTTTAAGTGCCTTGAAAGTCAGAGCCCTGGCAACTGTGAGGAGCCGGGAAGCAGCCTCCTCGCTCTGCACAAGCCGAGGCCTCCAGCCAGCCACATTCCCCAACACCAAGAACGCAGTGGCAGGCTATGCGCTTCTGCGCAGGCCACCTCGCGGGCTCCCAGACAGTACACCCACCAGTGCTCCGTGGGGAAGACACAAAGAGACACATTCGGTCCATCTCAGTTACAGATCATGTTACAGATGAGGGGAAAACACAGCCCAGCACAGGGCTGCGCAGTGGACAGGACAGCACCGCAGCCAAGCGAGAGACTCAAGACACGCTCACGAGGAAACCCGGGACAGAAATGGGGGACGCAGCATAAAACACATTCTACGTAATGGAAATGTAACTTCTATTACATTTAATAGAAACTAGAAAACAGAAACAAATCCACATTATATGAAAAAGTATCGACGCACATTCCTCCGTGAAGCTTCGTGAAAGAGCGAAGCGTGCAGAGTGGTAGAAACGCGAGCAGCAGCAGGGAAGCAGCTGCGGAGGGGCCTCCCCTACCCGGAGCAGGGACGGGACAAGGTCGGCCAAGGAGGCTGGCAGACGAAGCAGGACTGGAATGGGAGAGGTCAGCCCCGAAGACACTCAACTGTCCGTGGATAAGTGAAATCATGAGGCCGAGTGAAGAGGAGGGTGCAGACCGGAAGCCAGGCTGGGGCACCCACCAGATGAGAGGGGGGCAACCGGGGACCCGCCAAGGAGCCAGGGATCAGCCAGGGATCAGCAGGTCGGAGTCCGGATGGCTGAGGGGCAAGACAAGAGTGGCTCCTGTGCCTACTGCACCTACTGGAGTGAGAACCAAGACCAGGCCTTCCTGGCGCAAGTGGGCACACAGGCCAGGCTGGAACCACACAGGAGAAGGAGGGGCCGTCTCTGTGGAGCAGGTTGAGAGAGCCTCCCCGACGACGAGACATCAAAGTCCAAGGGCTCAGCCCAGGCTCAAGGATGGGCTGGCGCAGATTTCCAAGGAGGGAGGAACTCCAATGGCAGCAGGGAGCAGGACGCTCAGAGCAGAGACAACCGGGGTGGCTGGAGGGCAAAGGGCCCTGTTGGCAAGGAATAAGGGCTGGAATTTTATTCTAAGTACGCTGGGGACTCACCAGACAATTGTAAGCTGGGGAGGTAAACAGTTTATAAATCTCAGTAACAAATGTTTCGAGAATGAATGGGTGGAAATGCAAGAATGAATGCGAAGCTAGGCTGCCATCCAGGCGGGAGCTGGGCTATCTGGACCAGGGTGGTGATGACGGGGAGTGAGCTGGGACATGGGCTCGAGGTACAAGAATGAATGTTGGATGGTCCGAGGGACAGTGGCGGAGGAGGGAGGCGGACGGGACCGGCCCAGGCCGGCTCCCGGCCGCAGGGAGGGTGGCGCAGGACTGCTTTCAGGGGAGGGAAGCCCCGCGTGCTGCACTCTGGGAATGGCAGCACCGAGAATCACCGGGATCCAGGCTGGGGCTCGGCACCCCTGCACTCACGGCTGAGGGAGGGGCCGGGACAGCAGCCTCAGCCAGCACCAAGGAAGCTGGAGGGAAAGCCCCATAAGCAGAGCTTCCACGGGAAGAGCCTGCAAAGCAGGATGCTACAAATGCGGCAGTGGCTGGAGAGAGAAAAGCAGCCTGACCACCCCCGGCGGATGCAGGGACCAGGCGGGATGGGCCGGGGAGCACCTTGTCCATGGCACCCAGCGGAACACAATGGCGTCCTTGGCCCTGCGGTCAAGAGAACGTGAGGGACGAAGGGAGCAGCACCGGGGCAAAGAGCAGTAGCCCAGGTCCAAGAGGCCCCGCCCAGCAGACAGGCTGATCGCCGGTCAGCGCAGGACACGCTGAGGGAGCGCGCTGCATGGCCTGGGCTCCCATCCAAGGGGGAGAAACAGCCAAGCCGAGGTGGGAGGAGACAGGGAGACTGACTTCTGAAACGACACCTGTGTATTCAACAAACACCTTTTGGGGAAGAGGCAACACACACAGGCCTGGGGCCAGGGTGATGAGCGCAGGGGAGGGAGGCTAAACCAGACGCAGGGGCCAAGTGAGCCCCGAGGACCGGCCAGGAGGCCGTGAGACCCGCCTCACCTGGGGCCCTGGTGTAGCTGGCGACCGCCCCGTTGACCAGGCCGGCGTACAGGCTCTGAGACGTGCAAGCCAGGCTCATGACTGTGGACTTCTCAGGAGTGAAAAAGTGCTGAAGTCTCACTTTCTTGGAGCCTTGACTGCTTTTATAAATGGAAATGCTTTAAGAGAAAAATACAAGCTAATAAATATATTTGCTCGTTGGGAGGAGAATGAGGGTGTCTATTAACATAAACACAAAACATTTCAATTCCTCCCTCTTGCCTGTCCTTCTCCATCCCTAGAAACACTTGCCCGTACTTTTAAAAAATTTGCAACAACCTTGATTTCTTTATTTTTAAAAGGGAAATTCTGGAATATAAAAAAAAAATTAGTTCTTCCTATATATCTTGTAACTTCACATCAGGAAAATCATTTTAACTCTCCTTTAAATGATGTCAACAATTCAATATGATCATAACATAGAATATGATGGTGGTTTTATCCCAAAACACAAGGGCGGGGGGATGTGCTTTTAAAAAGCATGAATAAAAATGAGACATTTCAGTGGCAAACAGCAAAACTTACTCCTTTAAAGAAATACCACTCCTCTTTAAGACTTTCCTAGAATAATTTCCAGGGGCCCAATTCACTAGTTATTTCAAAGTGCAATGACCCTAAAAATTTCCCCTAGTATTCCCTAATTCCTACACAGGCTGCTCCTGAGTCAAAGTCAAGGACTCTTTCCAGGACAGGCTCCCCACCATGCCCTCAATGGGCAGAGCTGGCTGATTCTCTGTAACGTGTTGAGTGCTACCCACCTTCCCTCCTCCGTCCCTACACAGATCGTTGGCACAGAAGCTCTTGCGGCCGAGGTCTCAGGGTCCAGGGGTACCCTGGGTTCTCTACGCTTCTGCTCAACAGGAATGTACAGCATGCACAGGATTCGAGATTCAACATTGAAACACTCGATGACTTTGGGGGTGGAATTTTGAAACGAGACGATGGCAATCTGACCCATTTGATGGGTACAACTTCCAATCTGAATCAGAGAATTAGGAGAAAAAAGAAAATGAGCGTGTGGAGGCTTCCATAATACGCTGGAATCTGACACTTAAAGACCATGACAAGCTTCGATTTTCATATGAGAATCAACACACTTAGAAAAATCAAAAAATTGCTTAAACAATTGCTCAGAGGCCCCTTTTCTTCTCAACCTATTTAATTAGGGTTTCCAAACAATTTTAAAGCAAGAGCATAACTTTAATTTTTACAAGGTTACATTTCTATACTTTAAAAATCATGTAGTCGTCACAATACGAAGGTAAAGGCCTATCATCCATTCTCCATTTAAAGTTCTAAGCAGCACATGATCATCCACTTTAATAAAACCAATGTTTAATGACCTTGGCTAAGAAAATAAACCTTTCAAATGTGAAAAACATCAATAAGAATATATCCCAAGGTAGATCATTTGAACTCAACATGTGGTATGTTGTGGAATTCTTTTTCTTTTTATTTTTTTGAGATGGAGTCTCACTCTGTTGCCCAGGCTGGAGTGCAGCGGTGCAATCTCAGCTCGCTGCAACCTTGGCCTCCCAGGTTCAAGCGATTCTCCTGCCTGAGCCTCCCAAGCTGCTGGGACTACCGGACTACAGGTTCACGTCACCGTGCCCAGCTAATTTTTGTATTTTTAGCAGAGATGGGGTTTCACTGTGTTGTCCAGGCTGGTCTTGAATCTGCCCACTTTAGCCTCCCAAAGTGCTGGGATTATAGGTGTGAGCCACTGCACCCAGCTGTGAAATTTCTAAAGTAGTATTGCTACAAGTGTGTACGTGAACTTCCTGTGTGCTTGAATCTCAACAATGAGAACACATAGCATAGTTTCCCAATTTAAACTTAAATTTATTTTTTTTAAGTGGGAAAGGGTCTGATCCCTGTGAACAGAAAGCACTAGCTAATTTAGGGGGGTGTTTTCACTGATTCTTTTTCTTTTCCACCACCTTTGAGAATGTTGTTAAACTCTCCTTATCTTTCCTGTATTTATTCCATGCTACACACAGACATCCTACTTTCAGGCTGCCAGGGAAGAATGCCCATCTCCCAGGCCCCTGCACTGCCTACAGGGCTAGGGCTGCGACCGGGCAAGGGGATGAGGCTTCAGCGATGACAGGTCTGCCTGCCTAGATGGAAAACAGGTCTCTTAAAAGTGGAAACCGCCAAGGGAATTAAGGCTACTCCTCCATTCACAGGTTGGTACGAACAAAATACCAGCTAATTGGGTTGTTCCATTTCTGACACTCAACTAGGAACACCGACCAAGCAGGATGAGTGGCTGTGAGAAGTGAGAGGCATGACTTGCTGCTCAGGATGCCTGGGAGGAAAGGATGAGGGTTTGGAAAAGCACAGTGGACCGCTGGAGGGCAAGTCTGAGGCTGCAGGGCGGGAACACAGGAAACCAGAGAGGGGAGAGCCTCGGACCACACAGCTCGACTCTAGTTTGCAGGAACCAGGAACGTCCACCGCAATAGCACCCTAATTTCAGATGCAATATTTCATTTGGAACACATTAATTTTAATTGCTAAGTTTCCACTGCAAAAAGCGTCTTGGAGAAAAAATATCCATGCAGTATCACCACCAAAATGGAAAAAAAAAATTAAAATTATTCTCATATTAGTTTATTGTCTTTGGACTGAACTTTATCTGGTAAATGTTTTGGATGAAAAGGAAAAGATACAAATATTTGCATTCCTAAGAATTCTAAATCTTTTCCAAAAGCGATCAGCTCCCTTTCAAAGAAGTGTTCATGTTTGTGAGTACACTCTGGGCTAAGCCACCAGCAACTCTGCACTGAGCAATTCACATCTTAGTCTCTCATCACACTGCTACAAATGTTGATTCTCTGTGAACCGGCACCAAAAACAAATAAACACATCTTACCCACAGGAAACCATGTGCTGTGGAAAATGACTCTGGCTGGCTTTCATTGTTGAGGTAAGGTTCAGGATTATAAGCAGCACATTCAATCTAAAATGGAATAAAATTAAACGTTCACATATAAAACAGAGCTAAGAGGCTCTTAGACTACATAACGTCTTAAACGGATGACTTGCTGCCAATGTATAACCACAGAAATTACAGGTTCATTACCTATCAAAGATTAAAACAGCGAGGATAAAAGTTGAAAAGTTCAAGTCTCAGAAATTAGCTTTTCAGAAGCGAACACCTAAGTGGATTCAGCCTTTGGTACCTTACTCTTCAGATCCCATCAGCACACAGAAACCCAGGGGCGCATCAGATGGGAGAGCCGCCCCCAGAGGCATCCAGCGCAGCCTGTGAGAACGCAGCAGCGAGGAAGCCCGTGCCTCTTCCCTTCCCTGGCCCACCAGGGCTCTCCCAGGGAAGTCCTGTGCACTGTCTGAGACTCCCAATGGGAGGGGTTGGGGGAGCTGCTAGGGACCAGGGTGAGAAACAGTATCTTTATTTCTTAAAGAATAAGATACCGCCAAAGTCACTGAAGGCCCTGGCCTGTTGTGCCTGAGTCACCGACACCGGGAACATTAACAAGATGCCACCCTGGAGGTGGAGACTGCCCAGGCAGAGAGCACGACGTGCCTCAAGCAGACGTGAGACTTGGAGTTACGATCCACCGTGGAAACAGACTGTTTGCCAAGCAAAGGCAAAACAGAGCTACAAATGTGAAACACGTGTCCCCTGTTTAACTAGCAAGGCCTCCGATGCTGTGGTGGTGTTGGAATATCCCAGGGTCCTGGCCCAGGACTGGGCTTCAGAGGTAACAGCTGGGTGTTTTTTAGGTTTTAAACAACAGCAATCTTATTTCCAAATAAATTACTTCTTGAGAAGCAGTGACTGTGGTTAACCTGGGAAGACCACGTTCTAACCATGCCCCTTAAGAATCATCTCCCAAGTGGCCCAGTCAGAGCTGTGAGGTGCACCCCACCGTGGGCCGGGCCCTGCCCTGCCTCCCTTTACCTTCAACTCCTGCTGCTTGGCCACCATCACGGGCATGTGTCCGACAAGGAGAGGATGCTTCTCCTTTTTAATGTGATTCCCATCATCTTCCACACAGAACCAGCCCATATGGTTCTCCTCTTCTGTGATTATATTCAGAAAGAAATGAGCAAGAATGCAGTTAATTCACACGCAACACACCTGCAGCTCCACGGGCCACAGCAGGGGAAGTTTCCAGCATTCTGTTTGTTTAGGACCAGATAACGCCATGTTTTACTCCTGGAAAACAGTACGATCTCCTCTTACAGCATACGCTCTGTATTCACTGCATTATTTTAGGAGGCAGCATTGCTCCCTCTAAATGGCGGGGACGTCTTCCTGTTTGCGCCTCCGGTATGCTGGACCCAAAGGCTGCAAAACTTCGCTGTGGAAACCACACAGGTCTACTTCCCCTTATCTTTCTCCATTTTTTCCCAAAGCAAAAGAGATGTTTAGATTCAAACACTAGAGAGGTACTGAGAAACTTTAAAACGTGGTATAATACTATGAGATAAGAAAAAGTACAATGAAATGGAGAAATATTTTACTACTAAAACAAACTGTCAACCTGGGCATTACAGAACAGGTACTGGATCTGAAGATGGAAGGGGACTTATCTGCATGTTCAGCTCATTCTCTTTAGAGAGTAGCTGCTTCCTTGTTTGCTGAGTCACTCTGAACCTCACCTGACAAACCACTCAATTAGTTAGCAAGAGAGAGAGGGGCTGTGTTTCTGCTTCCTTGTCAACTGAGCACAAAGTCGGGAAGGCTTTCCCTTCCAGACAAGGCCCTTCCACTGATCAGAGCTCCCTGGGGCAATGGCATCATCCATGCTCTGCATTTCCCTTCTCTATTTTGTTCTCAGTTAACATTTCAGAGTATCCACAGCAGAATGAGAATTTTACACACACATGACATCCCAGTATATTCTGAGTAACAAGTCTGAGGGGTGTGTGTAAGTACATTACACAGAGAGCAAAACATCATCAAGGCTGAAGAGACATCGGAACAAGGAAATCATAAAGTCACATCTACAGTAAAACCATGGGGTTTATCTTTGGTGCTGGGAGGATCTTCAGTGACCCCTCAGCCCAGCCCTGTGTTTTGCTTCTCAGTGAGGAGTGAGGAGAAGGGCCAAGAGGAACAATGACCTCCCTGGCATTTGGAGGCCGCTGCCCACCGCCTGCCTCCAGCATCTGGTTCACGGCCAGGCTCCTGGGACTTCCTCTGTGTTCTGCTGCAACTGGTACCAGAAACACCATGGCCTTGTTCCTGCAACCCCTCCATTTTAATATGAACGTCTTAAAAATTGCTCATGCTAGGGTTAATTTTCCTCTTTCAGATCAATGGATGGCTCCCCTTCGGAGTCTCCTTCTCAAGCCTGACCTCACCCTTACAGGCAGGAATTCATCATCGTGCAGCATGCCTCATTCAGCCTCAGTCAGCCAGGCCTTACCCAGGGCAAGCTTGGCCATCTGTAAGCTGTTGACCCAGGACTCCTTGATGGCAGGGGTAAACGTATTGAACACAGCTGTAAAGAAGGTCGGTCGCCCAGATCTGCCAGAAACAACAGACAGGCATTCATTTGATAAAATGTGCTCCATCCTGTGAGGTTAAATTACATATTTTGCCTGTCTTAGGTAATCAGCAAGCCGAAAAACATCTATGTCATGGCAAAGAACCATTTTTTTCCCCCAGCACTGACCAAGAAGGTTTCGTTTTAAAGCTACTACTAACTTGTCGTGCTTCCCTGGGAGCTGTAACTGAATTCTGCAGCAGTCTGCAGCTCTGATTTCATCTTCTTTCTTCAAAATGAGCCTTTGTAAACCTGATGTCCAATCATGGGCTACTGACTGGTTTAAGTTCTACAAAGGAAATAAATACGCACATTTCAAACATGTTTAAAAAGAAGGGCCATCCCAAGTAAGATTTAAAAAAATTTTTAACATGAGAAATTCAGATCAAATAAAACTATCCCAAAGAAACATTTGGGAGTCAGACCGCACTGTGGGAGGGCTGAGCCATTTTTAAGACAGAACTGATATTCAAGTCTATTTGCAAAATGAAAAAAAGAAAAGTTATGGTTACTTTCACCTTCTCTAATACAGGAGAAAATGTATAATCCGATTAATTTTTAAAGTCAAAATGGATTCTCACTTGTGGTAGAACTTAGAGATATAATAAAATGCTTACAATGACTCAGAAGTCAAGACAGAATTTGAAATCAAATCGCTTCAATTGTTACCTGATAGTTTCCTTTAAGGTTTCCTATCAGCTGAGTGATTTGACCGATTACATTTAAGTCATGTAACAAGTTTTGCAAATCTTGATACAGTTGTCCTGGCCCCATATAAACTTTGTCTGCAAAATAAGAAGAAAAACAAAAGAACACAAATGTAAACCCAGGTTTACTTTAATACTTGAGGAATGAAAACACTAAAATAACAGTTAAATAATTTTTAAGTTGAGGGGTGAATCTAGAACTTTTTTAAAGTGGACATTTTCAAGCATTTAGTGGTTTTTTCTTTTCTAGCATTTATTTAGAAATAATTTCAGATGGAAAAGTTGCAAAGAGCTGCCTCCTGAGTGCCTGGGCCTGGCTTCCCCAGAGGCTAACATCTGACATAGGCATAGCATGACCGTCAAATCCAGGACACCACGTTGATACGGCACTCCTAACTGATCTACAGACCTTCTTCACACCTCACCGCTTTCACTCCAATGTCATTTTCTAGTCCCAGATGTAGCCCAGAGCCTCGCACTGCATTCTGTAGTCACATCCCTGAAATCTCCTCCAGTCTGGGAGAGTTTCTCAATCTTCCTCTTTCGCGATCCTGACATTTTTGGAGGATGCTGGTGAGTTACAGAGTTGTCTCACAATTTGAGTTTGACTGATGTTTTGTCCCTTTCATAGTTTTTAAACACTTGACATAACAGCTATTAGTCAGAGGCACCTAGAAATGACATTTAATCTGAACCACATCTCCAATAACGGGTCCACCATCAAAAAGAATTCCCCAGTGATCTTTCCTAAGGTTTGTTTTTTTTTAATGGGAACAGAAACGGTTTGTCTTCAATGACTTGGGTTAGGGAAATGACTGTGTTTCCTGAGTTCTCAAGTGCCCAAGTGAGAACAGCTACAGAGAAGTTCTCAGACTGTCCCTCACAGAGTGCTTTCTATGTGCCACAGCAGGTGATGTTCAAATACTTCTTCACTAAATCCCATGATGGGCCCACAGGCACAGAGGACAGATTCCCCCACCCCAAGATTTGACTGATAACAGATAAGGAGTTCATCTCAGAATCAGCCTGAGAGTCTATACTTTAAAGCCAGATATAATAATACCCTCCTTATTTTCCATTTCTCATAGAAATTAATTGTCTAAGGTCAAACAACCAGGAAGAGAAGGAGCCAAAATTCAAACCCAGGTAGAAGAAATTCATTTAAGTTGAGTAAGGTGCCTCGTGTTCCAGCAGGTACAGGCTTCACGGCCACGGGTCTGTGCAGCTGCATGGACTTGAGCTTACAGGGCCCAGAACTTGGTCTCAGGCTCTGATGTGGACATCCTGAAATTCTTAATAATTTTGGGAAAGGACTCTGCATTTTCCTTTTATGCTATGTCCTACAAATTATGTAGCTTGCTCTCTTAGTGTGTATAACATATATAATACATATATGTCAAAACTGAAAGAACCTACATAATTCCAATAAAAATATTTCAGATATATGTATCTAAAAATATTTACTAGGTAACTGAAGAGTAGCATAACCCTTTATAATTTTGCAGGCACTTTATGTTAAAGACATGATTATGTGGTATTTATGCACATGGTAGGCCTGATTTTTATCAACTATCTAGACAAATTCAATAACTAAATACATTTGGTTTTTGTTTGTTTGTTCGTTTGTTTGTCTTTTGAGATGGATTCTTGCTCTGTCTCCAGGATGGAGTGCAGTGGCATCATCTTGACTCACTGCAACCTCTGCCTCTTGGGTTCAAGTGATCCTCCTGCCTCAGCCTCCCAAGTAGCTGGGACTACAGGCATACACCACCACGCCCAGCTAATTTTTTGTATTTTTAGTAGAGACAGGGTTTCACTATGTTGTCCAGGATGCTGTCAATCTCTTGACCTCATGATCCACCCAACTCAGCCTCCCAAAGTGCTAGGATTACAGGCGTGAGCCACCGCGCCCGGCCTACTAACTGCACTTGAAGTATCATGAAATTTCATAAAAAGGGTAGCAAAGTGATCCAGCAGTTACCCATAGCAACTTTATTTATCCTTATAAAATGCTTATAATTTAAAATGTTTCATGACACACATATTTGCTTTCATTCATAAACTGATGATAAACTCTAAAACACAACCTTGTAATACAAGTATAGGCTGGATGTGGTGGCTCATGCCTGTAATACCAGCACTTCGGGAGGCCAAGGAGAGAGGATTGCTAAAAGTCAGGAATTCCAGACCAGCCTGGGCAGCATAGTTTAAAACAAAAACAAAAACAAAAAAACGTTAGTCAGGCATCGTAGTGTGCACCTGTAGCCTGTCGTCCCAAATACTTGGGAGTCTGAGGTAGGAAGCTCACTCCAGCCAAGGAAGCCAAGGCTGCAATGAGCTATAGTTGTGCCACTGCACTACAGCCTGGGCATCCAAACAAGACCTTGTGTCAAAATTAATAAATGAGTAAATAAAATTGTAAGTGCTATGTAAACTTTATTAATTAGTTAACTTCGTTTAAAAGTGATCTTAAAATAGGATCTTCACAATTACCATCCAATCAAATTGACCCTTCTATTTGAAATATATAGGTCTGCAGCTCTATATATTTTCACACATGCATAGATGCATATAAATATCTCCCTAGTAAGCCTGAGGGAGAACTCCAGGGCACAAAGGAACAGCTCCATCACCCACAGAACAGCTCCATCACTCATAGAACAGCTCCATCACCCACAGAACAGCTCCATCATCCACAGAACAGCTCCATCATCCACAGAACAGCTCCATCACCCACAGAGAAGCTCCATCACCCACAGAATAGCTCCATCACCACAGATCAGCTCCATCTCTCACAGAACAGCTCCATCAATCACAGAACAGCTCCATCACCCAAAGAACAGCTCCATCACCCACAGAGCAGCTCTATCACCCACAGAACAGCTCCATCACCCACAGAGCAGCTCCATCACCCACAGAACAGTTCCATCACTCTACAGAACAGCTCCAACACCCACAGAACAGCTCCATCACCCATAGAGCAGCTCCATCATCCAAACAGTTCCATCACCCTACAGAACAGCTCTATCACCCACAGAACAGCTCCGTCACCCACGGGGCAGCTCCATCACCCACAGGGCAGCTCCATCACCGACACCGCAGCTCCATCACCCACAGAACAACTCCACCACTCTACAGAAGAGCTCTGTCACCCACAGAACAGCTCCATCACCCACAGGGCAGCTCTAACACTCTACGGAACAGCTCCATCACTCACAGAACAGCTCCATCACTCTAAAGAACAGCTCCATCACCCACAGAACAGCTCCATGACTCATAGAACAGCTTCATCAATCATGGAACATCTCCCTCACCCATGGAACAGCTCCATCACCCACAGAACAGCTCCATCACCACAGAATAGCTCCATTACTTACAGAACAGCTACATCAATCACAGAATAGCTCCATCGCCCATGGAACAGTTCTATACAGCTTCATCACCCATGGAACATCTCCATCACCCATAGAACAGCTTCATTACCCAAGGAACAGCTCCATCATCCACAGAACAGCTCCATCACTCACAGAACAGCTCCATCAATCACACAACAGTTCCATCACTCACGGAACAGTTCTATATAGCTCCATCAACCATGGAATAGCTCCATCACCACAGAACAGCTCCATCAATCACGGAACAGCTCCATCACCCATGGAACAGTTCCATCACCCACAGAACAGCTCCATCACTGTAAAGAACAGCTCCATCACCCACAGAACAGTTCCATAACACACAGAACAGCTCCATCATTCATGGAGCAGCTCCATCACTGTGCAGAACAGCTCCACCACCCGCAGAATAGCTCCATCACTCACAGAGCAGCTCCATCACCCAAAGAACAGCTCCGTCACCCACAGAACAGCTCCATCACCCATGGAACAGCTCCATCACTCACAGAACAGCTCCATCACTCATGGAACAGCTTCATCACCCACGGAGCAGCTCCACAACCCACAAAATAGCTCTACCAAGCTACAGAACTGCTCTACAGCTCTATCACCCATAAAACAGCTCATCACTCACAGAACAACTCCATCATCCACAGAACAGGTCCATCACCCACAAAACAGCTCCATCACTGTACAGAACTGCTCCGCCACCCAGAGACCAGCTTCTTACCTACAGGGTACATGGGATAGGCCATAGGGATTCACAGGTGCACAGATTTCAGTTCTATGGGAGGAATAGGTTCCAAGAGGTCTAGTGTAGTCAATAAAGTATTGTGTACTTAAAAATCACTAAAAGTAGTCTTTAAAGTTCTCACCATGAACAAATGGTAAATGTGTGACATAAGGCATATGTTAGCTTGATTTAGCCACTCCACAATGTATACATATTTCAAAACGCCATGTTTTAAACCATAAATGTATATGATTATTTTTCAGTTAAAAACATAAGCATTTTAAAAATAAATACACAAACACACACACTGCCACTGATGTGAACCTATCAGGGGAAGGGACAATACTCTTTTCCTAGTGGATTAAAGAACCTTCTGCACTGAGATGAGGAAGAGTTTCTCAACTTTGAGGAGCATGGAAATGTGCTCAAGTTTTATGTCTGCTGGATCATCAGACAGTTTACAACAAGGCACCATTGGGGCACAGATGACACCACAGAACAACCCGAGACTTCCAAATGAATGAGGACAATGTGCACTGCCAACAAAAGCGTCTGCGCTCACATCCCAAGTTTAACAAGAAACCACACAGAGCGGCCACTGCTTTTCAAACGTGATTCTCAGTTTCAGAAAGAAGTGTTTCATGTTGATTTTCAGGTCAAAATTGATTAAAGCAACCCCTGCAGGCTGAGTGCGGTGGCTCACGCCTGTAATCCCAACATTTTGGGAGGCCAAGGCAGGCAGATCACCTGAAGTCAAGAGTTTGAGACCAGCCTAGCCAACATGGTAAAGCCTCATCTCTACTAAGAATACAAAAAAATTAGTAATAATTAGTTGGGCGTGGTGGTGCACACATTTAGTCCCAGTTATTTGAGGAGGCTAAGGCAGGAAAATTGCCTGAACACAGGAGCAGAGGTTGCAGTGAGCCAAGATCACGCCACTGCACTCCAGCCTG